ATTTAAATTTAAAATTAAAACAAAATAATGGTATTTTTTAAATTTAGATAAATTATACTCCAGACTTCTCTTAAAATTTAGAAAAAACACAATGAGTCTTACAATTTTAACATAACAATATTGACCTTCCGTTTAGTAAGATTAAAGGGACTGAAAATAATACAAATAATATGAAAACATAAAGATAAACAAAATAAAATATAAATTTTTAGTGTAAAAGATATTATAACATTATTTTTCAATCAGGTGACTAAGAAAATTTTGATGAAAATAGAGCCAACTATTACATGAATTAAAACCTTAGAATAACTCTATATAATTATTTAAACTTGTAGGATTTATTATATTTTGTTCAAAATTTAAGAAAGATGAATATAATTTTTTAAAAAAAATATTTTTTACTAGTCTTGAGCAGTCATTTTGCAGATGGGAGTCCAAAGTCTCATGTTTGTTGGGACCATCTCCATCTCCTTAGAAATCCAACAAATATAAAATCTTGAGTCCACATTAGTTCGGGATTGGTTTAGACTACAAAAATTCCCAAGCAAGGTCCTTTTAGTGATAATTTTCTTCGCAAAATTTATGATGGGCCGTCGATATTTCCACAATTGACCGACTTTGGTATTCTAAAAAGAAGAATGTTAAAAAGAGTCTTAAAATTTATTATTAGTGTTAAAAAAAATATGCTTAAATATATTAAAATCATAATTTTGTTAACATGTTATAGGGCTTATTGATAGTCCTTACGATTATTGTTAACTTGACAATAATTGTGACTTCTATACGATTTTACCTTTCAATTGTTGCATTAGGTTTTGCTGACTCTATCTAATTCACTAGCCGACCTTAAAGCAAGTCATCTTTTCATATTAAAAAAGTGGGAAACCTTTTTTTAAAGATATCTGATATTAAGATTTTATAAGATAAAAAATATATAATATTTTTATAATAGTTAAGTGTCACGACCTAAACCCGCTTCTATAGATTTGAATGATAGACAATTAAAATTCAAATCACTTTACAAGTTTTTTGGATTCTTCAGCCGAGATGCGTATCTCGGCCAAAAAAGGTTGGCGGGATCAGGTAAGGCCAAACTAATTAGTTTGGCTAGACATGCAGTCAGAATGATGCAAAACATTGAAAAAGACAGTAACTGAGCAAAGAGATCGAAATTTTTCAATACAAAAGGTGGGACATATAGCCCGGTTACACAGAAAGAACGTCTTCTAGTGCGATTGCGAACTTGAAGGATATAAATGTTGAAGGCAAAATTGCGGGGCTAGCTGTTCAAAATTTTGAAGGTACATAACGATTGTAGCAGGAGAACGAGGATAATGGGGGCACGTCACGTATTCTGGGAATGACGTCGTATCAAACATGCCAGATTAATGGAAGGACGTGTTGAACAACTGACAAGGCTTGTTGGGGCCAAACGAGCTGTGAAACCAAACAACTTTTTTAGCTCGGCAGAGAAGGGCATTCATTAGCTTAGCTGGAGGAAAATAATCCCAATCATGCTACGCAGATGGAATTATGGGTCAATTGAGAGGGTAATTTATAATGAAAAATTGGGCCGAGCCACGATCCTTTGATTTCTGTTGCGGGCCGAACTAAAGGGCCGCAGTGTAGACGTCAAGTAGCTCGGTCCCTTTTTATCTGAGTACCAAACTGGGCAAAGGCATTGACCAAGCTACCTAATACTAGGCCCAAGGGTTGGCCGAGGTGTTTGGTAAGATGGAGAGCCGAGCTAGGTGTAGCTCGGTCGATGCTTCTATTCCATTACTTAGATGAGCACAGAGTCGAAATAACTTGGTTGACCGCAATGTTAGCCGAGGTAAAGGGGTCAGCGGAGGTAAATGTGTCAGCTAAGGTAAAGGGGGTGGCCATCTCACTTGGCTTGCAGTGATGAGGGTGTTCTGAGGGTAAACATTATCCTTGGACATGAGACTCCTAGTAGGACTCTGTTAAGGAGAGTTAGAGTCCTACTGGAATTGTGCAAACCATCTCACTTGGTTGGTAGTGAGTAGGGTGTGCGATTCCTAGGAGGACCCTCATAGGGAGAGTTGGAATCCTATTAGAATTGTGCCAAGCAGAATCTATAATGACCAGACCTTTGTACAGGTATCCCAAATTTTACTCTAGAATATATAGAGTTTATTGTCTATTGTCTAGTTTCTGACTTAGGCATCGGAGGGGTTTTTGGTACACACCCGCCGGTTAGCTTACATTTATGTTTTCAGGTGGCAAAGCGATGACGTTTGGAAGAGTGCAAACTTGATCGACAGGATTATACGAGAATATTATTTCTGTGCTCGTACAGAAGAGAAACGATTTTTTGGTGCATGTTACTTGTTTGGATAAGTAAAAAGAAGAGAAATGAGAAAAATGAAGAAAAGCTAATTTCTTTAATGATTTAAATTTAAAATTAAAACAAAATAATGGTATTTTTTAAATTTAGATAAATTATACTCCAGACTTCTCTTAAAATTTAGAAAAAACACAATGAGTCTTACAATTTTAACATAACAATGTTGACCTTCCGTTTAGTAAGATTAAAGGGACTGAAAATAATACAAATAATATGAAAACATAAAGATAAACAAAATAAAATATAAATTTTTAGTGTAAAAGATATTATAACATTATTTTTCAATCAGGTGACTAAGAAAATTTTGATGAAAATAGAGCCAACTATTACATGAATTAAAACCTTAGAATAACTCAATATAATTATTTAAACTTGTAGGATTTATTATATTTTGTTCAAAATTTAAGAAAGATGAATATAATTTTTTTTAAAAAATATTTTTTACTAGTCTTGAGCAGTCATTTTGCAGATGGGAGTCCAAAGTCTCATGTTTGTTGGGACCATCTCCATCTCCTTAGAAATCCAACAAATATAAAATCTTGAGTCCACATTAGTTCGGGATTGGTTTAGACTACAAAAATTCCCAAGCAAGGTCCTTTTAGTGATAATTTTCTTCGCAAAATTTATGATGGGCCGTCGATATTTCCACAATTGACCGACTTTGGTATTCTAAAAAGAAGAATGTTAAAAAGAGTCTTAAAATTTATTATTAGTGTTAAAAAAAATATGCTTAAATATATTAAAATCATAATTTTGTTAACATGTTATAGGGCTTATTGATAGTCCTTACGATTATTGTTAACTTGACAATAATTGTGACTTCTATACGATTTTACCTTTCAATTGTTGCATTAGGTTTTGCTGACTCTATCTAATTCACTAGCCGACCTTAAAGCAAGTCATCTTTTCATATTAAAAAAGTGGGAAACCTTTTTTTAAAGATATCTGATATTAAGATTTTATAAGATAAAAAATATATAATATTTTTATAATAGTTAAGTGTCACGACCTAAACCCGCTTCTATAGATTTGAATGATAGACAATTAAAATTCAAATCACTTTAATTAATTACATGTTAATTATTATACGTGATAGGGTCGTCACATTAAGGTCCCTCAATATTTCTACAGAGAAAATTTGACTCAGAGAAATTTCTCCCCGGCTCAAAGAAATTTCAATTTTCACAAGCAAAATTTTTTGATTTCACAGAGAAATTTCAAAATTTCTCTAAATCGGATGAAATTTCTCTAAGGCGGGTAAAATTTCATTGAGTCGAATTTTTTCTGTGAAAATGTTGAGAGACCTTGGCTAATAAAAAAAAAAATATCTTGGACCTCTCCAATTACACAAAGTTGGAGAGGAATGTTTCACTAATTTTTTTTATTTTTTATTTTTTATAAAAAAGACCATGAATCTACTAGAGTAATTTTTTCTAATGCTAAAGTAATTATAAAAAATTAGGAGTGTTCGCGGTTCGGTTGCGACTAGAAAACTCCTCATCCGTCCGTCGGATGGATGGATGGACACGAATCGATTTTGGATAATAACCCAACGTAACATAACCAAAATATTATCAAGTAAATTGTCAAATACCAATAATAAAAACATAGAAGAAAATCATGCATTATCAAAACCATTTCATTACTTTTTTATTAAAAAACTATGTAATTTGATTTTTTTAAAAATGACAAAATTAAGTGTTATATTTTTCACACAAAAATACCAAATATTAGCATTTGCCATTTGATAGAAATATTTTCAAATTGAAAACACAATCGAATATCTAAACTTTTTTTCAATTGAAATTATAAACAGAAAACTCAAAGTCTTAAAAATTACTAGGAGTGCTCGCTGTTTCGCAATTCAGTTGCAGCTAAAGGAACCTCAAATTCGCCATCCGTCCAAAACTAGGTGGATTGGAAAAAATCAATCTGCAATTGTCCGTTCGTCATTAAGCATCCGTCCAAAATGCGACAGATTGGTTCGATTGGTCTGGGTGGGTCAGAATATTCGCTGCTCACCCCTATAAAAAATTGGTCATTAATAGGCCTAATTGGTATAGAGTATTAGAAATTAAAAGTTGATAATCATAAAGTAGAAATTAAAAATATCTCTCTTTAAACTTTTATTAGTTAAATTGTTTTTGTCTAATAAATTGTAAATCGAAACTGCACCAAACAATCTAATATAAATTCTAAATTATTAAAATAAATTATAATAACACATTTTAAATTGTAACAAACATCCTATTGTGTAGTGAATTTTGTTGAAGAGAAATTGTGACCTAGCCTCTCAATTGGTGACTTCTGCCGTATAATCTACCCGATTTGTGCCGCAGCCCAATCCGTTGTGATGTGTCCGCATAGTTCCAGACACATCTCCTCTTACTCCAATCCAGGTTTGTGTGAGAGTAGGGATGGCAATTTGAATCCGACTTGACGGGGACTCGCCTCCTCGACCCTGATTAGAACGAGATTTCCCTAAAAATTACCCCCATAAGGCCGGGGATGGTATTGAAAATTGAATCCCCGACAGTTTTCGGGCTAGGACGGGAATAGGTTCCCCCGTCTCCGACCCCGTTCCAAATAATCCCCAAACAATTCCCTAAATATATATATATATATATGTGTGTGTGTGTGTGTGTGTGTGTGTGTTTAGGGTTATTTGAGTCTTATTTTCGGCCTCTCTCTCACTCACACTAAATTCTCTTCTCTCAGCCTCTTTTCTTCTGTCTCTGTGCTGTAGGTGCTCCTCACAACATCGGTGACGACTCCTCTGCTGTCTTCTTCTTCCTTCTCTCATCACCGTTGATATCCTTCATTCTCCGTTGTCTTCGGCGAGAGAGAGTTGTTAGGGTTTCTAATCTCGCCGATCTCCCTCCTAAAGAACATCACAGCGACTCCGACGGCTTTCCTTTCGTTGCCGTCAACATCGTTGTTTTCGATCATTGAGCTAGCGGCCTCGCTGCCGATACCATCTATTTGATTTCTCTTTTTAAGTCGTACTTCTTAGATCTTACCATCTCTCTGATTTCTCTTTTTTTGATTTATTGCAGATCTTACAAGTTGATTATGAGGATTGGATCATGGAGATGGAAGGAGAGAGAGAAAATGAAGGTTGGCTAGTGAGAGATCTCATATCTGTGTTGATCTGTCGTGTATGATGCTGTTGGTCTTTATTTTTTGTGTTGTGTTGATCTTCGTTTCTCCATCTGTCTTCATTTTTTTTTGGGTAGTTGATTTGTTATATATGATGTTGTTTATGATTTTGTTGATATGCCATGTAAGTTATTTGTTTAATTTTTAATTTTTAATTTTTTTTAAAGATGTTTTGAAATTTGAATTCGAGCTTAAACACACTCAATTTTTTTTTTTTTGGGTTTTTTTTTTTTAGATTTGATGTTGTATTTGATGTATTTGATCTGTAAATTTAGTTATACACACTTAAACTTCTGTATTACTGGGTTTTTTTTTTTTGTTTTTTTTGTTTTTGTTTGGATCGGGAAATTTTTGGGATTGGCAAAACCCGATCCCCGTTAGGGGTAGGGGGCGGAGGTAGGGGTGGGGACGGTGATAGGTTTCCCATCGGGGATCGGGGCTAAGAACGAGGGAATTTTCACCATCGGTGATCGGGGACGGAAAGTGTGATCCCTGATCCTGCCCCAACCCATTGCTATTCCTAGGGGTGGACGCGGGTCGGTTGCGGCCACGAAACCTCCAATCCGCCATCTGTCCGCCAGATTGACGAATTGGAGAAAATCAGTCCGCATCCGTCCGCCAATCCGGCAGATGTGGATTGAGCGGATTGGCGATTTGATGAATGGATGCGAATTGGTTTGGTGGTTTAAAATTTTATAAATTTTTAACATAATTCAACTTGTTCACTTCCTCAAAAAAAAAGAAAAAGAAAAAGAAGAAAGTATTACAGTCAATGACTTAAAAAAATATTACAATCACTGCATGCCTCATCCAAAGTAAGAAAGTTTGAAACTTTAAAATATCACAATCACAGCATACCTCCTCCACATAAAGTGTCACAATCTGTGATTCTTAAAATATAAAAACAATTCAAATTGCAATCTGTGGTTCTTAAAATATAAAAACAATTCAAACCAGCAAAACCATAAATAGAGCAGTAGTAGAGATTATGTTACATCTATTTCTGTTTTTGAAAACAAAAACCAACCAGCATATATCATGTTTTCTATTTATTATTTTTAGAGATGAATTTAAAAACCAAAAAATATAGATAAATAATATGTTTATTTTTTTCAATTCAAAAAAGATATTCAAGTTGAAATTTTTTTTCAACAAAATATTTAAACTCTTTTTTAATTGAAAATACAAACAGAATATTTAAACAAATTGAAAACACAAAATTTTATAAATTACTAGGGGTGCTCGCGGTTTGACGGTTCGATTGTGGCCAAAGGAATCTCAAATCCACCATCCGTCCGCTAGATTGGCGGATTGGAGAAAATCAAACCGCAACCGTCCGCTCGTCATCACGCATCCGTTCAAAATGCGGCGGATTGGTTCGCTTCGATCGGTTTTGGCGGATCGATATATTCATTGCTCACCCCTAGCCATTCCTATGTGAGAGCGACATAAAAATACAAAATTATCACATGTACATAAATAGGGGGTGTTTGGAAGGGGATTATGCTAAAATAGTTTACTAAAAAATAAAATAAATTAAAATTGTTAATAAAATAAAATATCACATTTAATTTACAATTATTTTATTTTTGTCTCATAATTATTAAATCAATTATAAAAAAATAATTAATGAACTTTCTAAATCCAACTATTTTAACTAAGTTAAAATAATTAAAAAGTCAAATAGTCAATTTCTCAAATAAGGCCATACATTGATGAGAAATTTTCATAGACACCCCCTTTAAAAAGAGTGTATTATATGTCATTTTAATTATGTTATTTTTTTTAATTAATATTATTTTAATTATGATTCATAAATTTTGTAATTATGTCTCATTTTATGTTTAATTCGGATACTATTATTTTTTTAATTATTATCAATTTTTTTAAATTTTTTTAAATTTTTAAGATATGAGGAATTGATGAGAGGGAGAGAGAGCTGGCGAGGCCTTCAAATTCTCCGAAATTTCAAAGCACAGAAGCAATCAATCTTCAAGTCGCAGGACATGCCCTGGTACACAATCACACAAATATATATATATATATATATATTTGGGGGTTTCAATTTACCTGATAACATCTTGGTTCCTGATTGGAATAATCGAATTTGCTATTGTTATGAGGTGCCTAGGGTTTCGATTACAGTCCTGTCGTTACGCTGTAATTTTGAATTTCTTCTGTCCCACAGTCATCATACACGCATTGTGAACTGATCGCACCATTTAGTTTCTTCGTTATTGAAATTTTGAGGGAGCAAACGAATGGGAAATATTATAGAAATTTTTAACTTCCCCTATAAATAGTACTATTAAATTTTTATGATTGGATCTTCATGTTTCTGTATCATTGTTGCTAAAAGTATAAAATTTGTGTGGTTTGAATTTTTTTAATTAAGTTTTTTGAAAATTGAATTTTTTATTTTTTATGTTTTTTTTTTGTTCTTAGCGAATATTTTTAAAATTTTAAATATTTTTTTATTTTTTTAAATGTACCTTACTTAGATGTATCTAAAAAGTAAAAAATTTATGAAAAAATATTTTTAAAAATTAATAAATACTTAAAAATATAAAAAATGTACTGAATTTTCGTATTTTTTTTTACATTTTTGGTATTTAGTGAATTTTTAAAAAGATTTTTTCATTTTTTTTTTTACTTTTAGGTATATTTATGTTAGGTATATCTAAAAATTAAAAACATTGCTCAAAATATTAAAAAAATTCAGTAAAAACAAAAAAATATGAAAAATAAGAAAGTAAAATTTTCTTAAAAGTGTTTTTGAAAAGTGATAACCAAGCATAGTGAGTTTTTGGATGTTATCAGGCATTATAATGAACTCATGATGGTCCATTATATGGTTTCATCCACTCTGAATGGTTACATTATAAAAAATAGTCTCGCCGTACTTTTTTTACGAAATTTTCATGTATGTGTTCTTGAATTGTAGTTAAGAAAGTGTATCGATAAAACACTTGCTCGTTAGCTAGGTCTTACGGAAAACCAAGTTAGAGCTTTTTCCATGTCAGCAGAAGGCTTATTTGACGGAGGAGTGTTTGAACTGCTTCATCATCTATTCGTCCTGACCAACTTACGAACAAATTAAACATGTATTGTATTTTGGGCTTAATGTCTTCTTGTTTTAGACTTCGCTTAGAATCATATTAGCTTTTTTGGCAGGTGTGACGATATCTTCTGCTGATAAATAATGCACTAGATTCTTCTGTGAGTTTTTGTGCTATCGTTTGATGGGTGCCCCTAAGCAAAAATGGACACCAGAAGAAGAAGCAGCGCTGAGAGCTGGTGTCGTTAAACATGGGGCAGGAAAGTGACGTACAATACTTAAAGGTCATGTTTGATTCACAAAATTAATAGTGAAGTATTAATAATCCTATTAAATTAGTGTAGTATTCACTATCCAATTAGATTAATATCCATTGGATTAATAATTCCACCCTTACCCATTACTAATAATCCTATAAACTTGTTGGATTAATTATCCATTAGATTAATAATCCTAAACCAAAATATTAAAACAAACATAGGATAATTGGACCCACGGATTAATAATCCTAATCCCATGCTCTAATCTACCAATCAAACATGCCCAAAGATCCAGAAGTCAGTGGTGTTTTGTACCTACGTTCAAATGTTAATCTCAAGGTATATCTTAAATCATTATTTGTTTGTTTTTACTTTTTACGTGGTTTGTTTTTCTCTAAACAAATGATTTGTATGGTGAGCCGTGATGATAGCCATTTAGTTTTTTTATTTGCTTTATATTTAGCTGTCTCCACTGTTGTGTATATAGTGTATCAATTTGGTCTTATGTGAATTAGGACAAATGGAGAAACATGAGCGTAATGGCTAATGGATGGGGCTCCAGAGAGAGGGCTAGATTAGCCCTAAAAAGGATGCGACCTGCCCCTAAAGAGGATGAGAATGCTATGGCTGTTTGTACAGTAGTTCAAAGTGATGAAGAAATTGTTGATGCTAAACTCTTGCAGTTTCTAGTGGTTCTCCACAGATTGGTTTTCCAAAAAGATCAATCGTAAGGTCAGGCATTATTCTTATTATTTGAGTTAGCATACTCTTATTTCCATAATTTTTTCTGGAGATAATAATGAACTTGTCACATGCTGACGTTTTTGCTCAAGCAATTCTGTAACAGATAACAGCTGGAAAAAAAAAATTTGGTGGCCAAGAATGGAATTTTGTTGATCTTGATAAAAGAATCAAGTGTTGTTAATACTGAATCCTGAGAATATTTACCATATAAAAAGTAATAACAAGGCGTATCTTTCTTATACTATCTCATAACACAAAAAAGGTAGATATCTAACTGTTGCTATAGTTTTATGCATTAGACCTCTAAATCAAGCCGGTGAAATTATCAACTAAAGTAGAAGAAGAGATAAAAAAAATAAAAAAAAAATAGCAGCGTGTAAAGAAGAAACTAGGAACCTTTTTTTTACATGTTTGTAGGTAGTTAGGAAAATAATATCGAACATTTTCTTTTGGTTGAGTAGACGACTTGTGTTGTTATGGCTCTCCCTCTTCTCTAGGAATCTCAACAGTGAACAAGAGTCTCATAAACATGATCCAAAAGAGTAAGCGTCAAATCCAAATTCTCCATCCATTAATCCAGTTCCATTCGTTAGATCATCCAAGGAGTCATAACCATTATCAACAAAGCCTCCAAGAAAATTAGAACCACCGAGCCCATCATTAAAAGGTTCTGAATTCAAAGAATTCACTTTCAAAGCGGATTGATTAGTAAATACTCCCCCACCTTGTGTTTGTTGTGGATTCCCATGTAGAAAAGGATTGCTCGAGGCACCAGGAAGAGAGTTTCTTGAGCTACCAACTGAAACTCTATTATCTGATAAGGTCCCGGCAGATGTAAAAAATGTTGCATCATCACCAGAATCGAACTCTGTAATGTGGGAAGAAGTGCACTTGCTTTGTTGCAATTGGTCAAGTTCCAGTGGTGTCAAAATCCCTTGAAATAAACTGGAATTTTGATTAGCTGCTGAAACAACTGGTTGGAGCTTCCCAAGGTTAGCAATGGAGTTGCCCAAGTTTTGGGTATGACTCGGTTGGATTAGTGAGGAAGGAGAAA